AGGCATTTTCGTCCACGGAGGCACAATTAGCATAGCTGAAAATGTTGAATAATAGAATAGATTTTGTATGTTTTTCGCCCTTCAGTGACTCAAATTGAATTAGTTTCACAAAATCAGAAATAGCATAGTTTGTCCCAGCCAAAGCTGAGCTCTGAAATAACATGGAAAAGATCCAACCAGCACCCCTGAGTCTCTGCTGTTTATTGTCAGTGGAGCAGACATGGGTTATATACACACACACACACACACATCTTGATAACCTCACAGACAATAACCGAGAAGTTCTGGTTTCTGATTTAGAAAGATTTTCACGTTAAGCTCCTGATTTTTCCTCTGATAGGTTTCTCAGTCACATTGTAAGACTGTCACTTGTTTATTTTTTATCTCTTTTTAAGAAATGAAACTCCTTCCGTTCTCTCGTATGCTGCTGCTTTCTGTAATATTCCCTGCTACAATACAAACAGTGTGTATTTCTAGCAGTGGGTTCAGCACTCCCACTCTTGTTTATAAGTAGTTTTTGTGGACGGACCGCATTGGTTTCTCCTCAGCACTTTACTGCAGAGAACGTAGTGTTTTTAATTGGAGCCAAACATTCATGTTTTCAAATGGAAAATGTGTCAGATTTTTTAAGTGTAGACTTTATATCCTGTTTGATTTCCTCATCGTTTTCCTCTTCCCTTTTGTGTCACTCACCCCCACCACCACCACCGCCACCGCCACCCCCCTGCACCTCATATTTCCCCGTCAGCACCGATCAGACCGCACACGCACACACTGAATCCCCTGAGTGTCCTCTGCACGCACACGCACGCACGCACACACACACACACACACACACACATCCCTGTCTTCCACAGCACTAGAGCCATCTAAAATTTCACTTCCTGAATCTGAAACCTGAACCCATAGATGAATTTTTCTTTGAGGGGAAAAACAGCCTTGTCCCTCCACAACACCACACACACACATCACACAGGTGAGTTTTCACACACTTCCCTGCCCCATTCCTATTTTTCTAAATGTCAGGCAGTTTATTACCAAACATCGGAAAGTCTTCTGAAGAAATTCTCTGAATAATGGATGATGTATGCAGATGCAGTTTTCTTCTGAATTCCTCATCATTAAATGGTTGAATAAAACTTTTTTTGTGTTTTTTTTTTTACTAGAAAAAACTGCTTGGCATGTCTTCAAAAATGAAGGTTGGCAGAAATGTAAAGTAGTACATTTTGGGAAAAAAATATATATAAACTGAGAGGATTTACAATACATTTAAAGCAGTGCTAAATAATATTTTTATGATAACAAACATGACAGTGGAACATGTAGCAGTTAAAGAGCCAGATATTTCCTTCAAGAGTTGGTAGAGACCAAAACAGAGCTAAAAGGACTGTGAGGACTTAAATTGATAAGACAGACTATCAAAATAATAGCACACATACTGCAAAGTATGGCTGTAAATGTCCTCAAATTGAACAACTTACCAACTTAAACACCCTGTATAGCTACAATGTTGTCTAACCACACATTTAAACTGGTCATACTGTCATGTTTGGCTTGTGACCCCTCATCACAGGCTATTATGTTCATGCTCATGTTATTAGTGTGGGTATGAGTTATGATCAGTTCAAACAAGGCTTGATTTTTCCTTCTCATATTGTTGCATTTGAAGGATTTTTATAGGCTATAAAAGAGCTAAAAGAAGAGAAAAGAAAAGCAAAACTTAAGAGAAAAAAGTATTTATCCATTTTCATTTATTTATCTTGTGACCATACAGATTTATCTTGGGGCCTCTTTGGGGATTCAGGAATCCCCACTGTAATTAATTCAGACAAATGTAGGAAATGTTATGTACTAATGATAGCTATATTTATCATTATTGGGATAAATGTGACCTTGACCTTGATTTTATTCCATAAATCTGCAAAGTCTGCAAGTTAAATTAAATAAGTTAATTTGTTGCTATATATATAAATATTACCAATTGATAGCATCTGAAGATTGTACTACCTAATTTGGGTGAATTTATGTGTCTTTTGTGAACTAGTTTAATTACATTTTCAACAATATCATACATAGTCCTCTGAAGTAAGAAACCAAAGCACTGCCTGAACATTTTTCCACATAAAAACATCAGCTACATGCCATAAACATAAAATGTAAAACAAATTTACAGTACAGAGGAGCATTCACCTAAGACAGTCAATATATTATCTATAACGAGTCTGTCAGAATGCACTTAATGGAAGTTGACCCAATCTCCAAACCTTCGCACTGCGAATCATAAAGCTGAGATAACAGTAAATAGTGAACTAGGTGGCATCAATCTGTTCTGAATAACAGAGCGGAATGACTCCTGCCCTTTAGTCATCATGAATCACTAACCATCTGCTCTTCAAGGTTTCTGCTGTGTGTGTGTGTGTGTGTTTGTGTGTGGGAGACAAGAAAGTGTGATAAAGGCCTGTGAAGAGGAGACACTGAATCACTGCATCGTTCTCACAGCCACTTCCTGCTTCTAGCCAGCATCCACAGCCATCAGAGCAGACTGACGGCAATTCTTTAGTCTCTGGAAACGACTACTCTCTATTTGTTTAGTTAGAGGTTAAGTTTTATTTGCCTTCATTTATCATGGAAAGCTAAATAGAGCACACTTTTCAGCAAATTATGCTTCAAACTGGGTTTTTTTTTTGCTTTACAAATGCTACATTTTAAAGCCCTTTTCAACCCACAGGCTTTTATTTACACTGAGATGAATCATTTAGATTAAAAGCTGCTACATGTTTCATATTAAGTTGATACATACGCACAGGAAATAGGACAGAAAACATTTCATTTTATAATTTTTAGACCAAAGTGGAGCCTAAAAAATAAGGGGAGGCAATTAAGATGATTACAGTATTTTAAAATATATTTTAAAGTAAGACTATGTAACATTTAAAAGAAACAAATAAGACAACTGTTAACCCAGAGGCAGACACAGATGGGCACAGTCGTGAAGTTTAAGGGTATTTATGAAAAACTCATGAGGGGAGCTGAAGTAGGGATGTCAGGGCTGAGCAGGGCAGAGTGAGCTGATCCAAGGGGGAATCTGAGTCAGCTGGTAACCGGAGAGGAGCAGAGAGTGGGCAGATTTGCAGACTGGTCAGAGCGAGGTGGAAGGCGCAGAGGCCAGAGTCGGGACTGACGAGGTGGTAGCCGAATCTACGGACTGACAGCGTGGAAAAGGCTGAGTATTTGAAAAGGCTTCATTATGGAGATGAGCTGCAGCTGGAGGTTCTGCCCTCACTCCAGCTGCACCTGCAGACAATCACACAGACACACAGGGAAAGCTGGTAGTCAGGTAGTTGAAGCTGATGGCCCAGGGGCAGATGTAACAACAACCCTCATAAGCAGTAAAATGCAACCTTGTTGAGTTCACTGCACTCTGGGGGGTTTTGCTGCACCAGCACAGCCCTGTTTGGACAGGTATAGTATCTGAGGATGGTTAATGTTAAGAAGATATTATACTCTATGTTTTACACACACACACACATAGACCCAAAATTCAATTTATAATATACAGTATAATTGACATTAGGTACATTTTCTGACTTAATGACTTTTCTTTTACTTGTGCTACCGTAATGCCAATGCTTTGAGCTAAATGCTAAGGTCGGCATGCTAACATGCGCACAAAGACAATGCTAACATGCTGCTGTTTAACAGGTATAATGTAAGTGTGCTAATATTAGCTAATTAACATTAAATACAAAGTGCAGCTGTGGCTAATGGGAATGTAAACCAAAGTATTGAACAAATTACAATTTCAAACAAATTTTGACCTGAAGATGGCGCTGTACGAAAAGTCAGGCGAGGGAATTTGAATATCTGTAGCAGATTTCATCGCAATCCATCCAAAAGTTGTTGAGACATTTAACTCAATACTACCAATATAAACCTTTTATATATATAATATATATATATAGATATAGATATAGATATTTGGCTTTTATTACCTTTAATCGATAGCAACAGCTGGGTGATAGGAATGGGGAGAAAGGGGCGGGATTTATCATCTGGGGACCATGAATGTCAACATTTTACATCAATCCATCCAGTAGTTGCTGAGATAGTTCAGTCTGGACCATCATGGATGACCAAGTGACACTGCCATCCCTTGAGCCACACCACTAGTGGGCTAAAAACAATGTGTGTGTGTGTGTGTGTGTAATACAAACACCATCTCAAAAAATCCACGCTATTTTTTTATCATTTCATTCAGTTTTATTACAAACAAAAAAAAAATAAAGAAAGAGAAAAAAAAAAGGAGATGCGTCATCATTGACATGTTTCACTGCCACTCATCATTTGATTGGCACCACTACATACACAGTGACACAAGATACCCAGAAATGAACAGAAAACTCTGGAGGACAAAGTAAAAGTGAAAAAAAGAAAGAACTAAGTGCTTGTTTTTGACGTTTTAGTTCAGGGGTTGCAAAACCTTTGTATGAAACATAATTTGAAAACTGGACTATTTCCTGGGAAGATCGGTGCAAAATGTCCGGGAATTATGGGATAAATTAAATCCTACAGTAGCTATCTTTTTTATTTTTAACTTAAATCTGACTCTGACTAGGATTTACAGGTTGACATCAGGTTCTTTATTCAGTTTGATGACTTTACATTTGTTCAGCTATGTTTATTAAGGCGTTTTTTAATGATGCAGTATATAAAATGGATTTCCAGCCTCCGATTTTCCAGATAAAGATAACCGTGTATTTTTACTCGGGTTAGAGAGTATACATTTTCTTTTTTTTGCTCAGAGAAGCATTTAGGGTTACATATGGCCTATTTTCTATATATGCATATGTCATTTGCAAGCCCCAAATCTAAAACGTAAGCAAGAAAAATTAGTTTTCTTGTAATATATCTACCTCTGAAGTTAGCTCAACTTCTTCGTTTGCGTTCTCTTGTAGTTATAGGACAAACATGGCAAAGAGGTGCATTGTGTGTCGCACATACTGTATCGTTTTTTTTTTCCATAGTTACAAAAAAATGTCTCTTTTGGTAGAAGCTCTTTCTCAAATAGCAACAGCGAGAACAACAGCAACATCGACGACAACAATACTCATAATCGCGAGAGTAGAAACACAAAGAACACGAATGAGCTGTTTAAATATGCAAAGTATATCACAGGATTTTTGTAGAAAGAAATAGAAACTTGAAAAAAAAAAAGACTGAGCGAGAGAGGGGAAGGGAGGAGAGGGAAGGCGTCAAGAGGAGTGTTCAGGGTGATCGATAGGATTTAATAACACTGACTTGCTTATGAAAGGTTATAAACATTCATAGGAGGTTTTCTGAAAAATAGCGTTGTCGCGAGGCCTTTTTCCCCCAAAATACCTCGAAGCTCTGTACATAAACTAGAACCAGGGAAGCGGGATGGGATGGCGGCAAATACTTAACATGGTCGAACGAGTCCTGAATATAATTATCATTATCATATCTTGCTGCGTGTGTTTATCTGAACATGTACCATTGAAAAAAAAAAAGAAACAAGAAAAAGCAAAACCAAAGGCTGAAAAAAAAAAGAAGCTGGAGCTGTGCTTGGAGCTGCTCGGACTGAGAAACAAAGAGGTTCAGCCTCTCTGGGAGAATTAGAAACAGTATTAAAACCACTGTAGGCACAGCTTGACACCATTTTTTTTTTTTTTCCTTTCCACGAGACAGCATTATTGTGATTAGAGCATGCTTCAGGGGATGGAGTGCGGCGGTAGAAATGATTTTCACATGCAGCTTCCTGTCGAGAGTTTAGAGACCGGGCGAGGAGGAGGAGGAAGGTTACATGGTCTATTGAGAGTTCTAAAGGTTTCTAGGATTGAGGTGGGTTGAGCGTTGTGTGTGTAAGTGTGTGTGTGTGTGTGTGTGTGTGTGTGTGTGTGTGTAGATGAGGTTAGAAGCATCCCAAGAGGAGGAGGAGGAGGCCTGTATGAAGAGGCCGCTTATGAGGAGTATCATGGTTTGAGGCAGACAAGAAAAGGTCACAAGAAGTTATGAGACAATATGGACTGTACTGCAGGTGTGTGTGTGTGTGTGTGTATATGTGTGTGTCCGTGGACAGTAAGTGCACATGTGTAGTGTATGTGTGTGTGATTGTAGTTTTTCAGGGAGTACCAGTCAGCAGAGTTAAGTTTAAGAAAACTTCTTGTAGAGAAATTGAAGATATCTTTGCAGCAGGTGGGTTTCAGTATGAGTGTGTGTGTGTATGTGCGAGCGTGTACGTGTGTGTGTAGTCTAGTCGTCGATACAGATGACCTCTCCGCTGCGCTGCTCCCGCCGGTTGACTAGCAGCTCTGCTTCCCGCTCCTTCTTTACAGACATTGGAGGCCCATTCAACACTACAGGGGAGAAAGAGAGATGCCAGAGTTTCAGTTCTGTAACTCGTCCATTCTTACACACACAGCAACGCACAAATGCAAACACAAAAATTAAGACACATTTTTAAGACTATTAGCCAACGTTGGAGAGACCGCTGGGCCGGATCCTGTTCTGTATGTTTAGTTTAGAAGTTGTTACAAACTTGTCGGGACCTCTTTTGGATATCTATGGATGTACAGTGGTTTCCAACAGGTCCGACACTGTAGCGACACAATCGGCAAACTGCTGTTTGTTTCCCCTGCATATTCATTCAACTCCGTTTCACTCCACCTGCAATGGCTCTATTTCCAGCCTCTGTGCCCCCACCAGTGGAGCCACAGTTTGAGAACCACTGCTTTAATAGGTAGTGACAGCCGTAGGAAGACAGGAAAGGGGGAGAGAGATAGGGGATGACATGCAGCAAAGGGCCACAGGCTGGAATCAAACCCAGGTTGCTGAGATAAGGACTCAGACTTAGTATATATGCGCAACCAGGTGAGCTACTGGGGCACCCGGTTATTCAAAGTTTTAAAGGTGCTGCAGTATATTTTAGCATTTTAACATTGATAACGTGGTAATTCTGAGGCCTAAATGTCTTTGCACCTATCTACTCCTTTTAAAAATGGTTAAAACCAATAAAAAATATCAGCCTTGTGTATAGTCAATGGAAAAATGGAAAGAGTTGATGTTGTTCTATTCTCTTTAAGAAATCAAGAGAGAAATCTTTTGCGGAGGAGTTGATAAGAGTGACAAGCTGTAACATCCTCTTTTGCAACATAAAGCAAAATTTATGGTCAATATGGCCTTCATTTTCTTTTGGCCTCCGCACTAAAAACATCTCTGGTGCTGAGAGGAAGCCTGCCAATCATCTTGCTCTTGTTTATGTATAATAATCCAACCAAGGTATCACAATTAATTATTTTACAGTATTAGCAACACCTTTAAAAGAACTGTTTTGACGCATAAGCAAACAAACTCCATCCAGGCATGCTTGATAATACTTTGATAATCTTTTTAATGAGCAAACTTGCATAATACAGTACGTCAGTCTATCATATTACATATACAGTATCATGTTTACAATATTGATAAAACCCCAGAATGCATAACTGTTAACCAGGAGAAAGTGAGGCCGGCAATGAGTAAACACACACATTCGCACACACACACCAACACAGGCAAATGAGGTCACAGGCACACAAACGCACACATGCACGGAAATTAACTGCTTTCTTCACGACTGCACAGCTGGCCAGCAAAGGGATCTGTGCTTCTCACATTTGTGCGCTATCATGAATCTGCTCAGGGAGTGGAACAGCAAGTTTAGCGCTCCTTTCAAAACAAAGCCAGGAATAGACTAACAGCGCACTTCTCTCACTCGCGCCACCGGGAAAGATAAACTGTCATAACACCACTGGTGCAGATCAAAGATGTGATAAGGAGTGAATTGAGTTGAAGACGTTTGTGTGTGTGTGTGTGTGTGTGTGTGTGTGTGGGGTGTAACTGTGTGTGTGCGACTGTGCGTCTACAACGAGAGGGGGACCACTTATGGGAAAACGTATGGCATTTCGCCAGTGGAGGCCAACAGAGGGGATGGAGAGAAAGAGAAAGAAGAGAAAGAGTGAGTTAGTGTGCGTGTGAGTGCAAGGGGGGGCAGACAAAATCTGATAAGAAGCAAAACAAATCGAGGTAAAGACTGGGTGAAAGAGCAAGAGGAATTATGGGTGCAGGAGCAGGACAGAGAGAAGTGGAAAAGAAAGATGAATAAAAAAAAACTGTAGATTGTTCTGAAAGGAGAAAGAATAACAAAATAGATCCAGACCGATACAGCGAGAAACTGCAGTATAGAAATGCTAAACATGATAGTAACACTTTGTCCACCAGAGAGCGCTCACAAGTATATTTGTCAAGTGTAAAAAGTCCTGCTCAGGACATATCTATTTTATAATTGTTCCAAGTTAAAGGATCCTTATTAAAAGTTTTTGTTATGCTTTTATCTAAAAAAAAGAAATACTTTTTTTTATCAGATTCTTAAAACGTCTTAAAATTTGAATTCTTAGGATTTTTGATCCGCGTTTCTTTCAGTAATTGCCCTTCAAAGTATACGATGGCGGAGTACGCCATTCCCAGGCTGAAGCGATGTAGCACGTAATCCAGTGTGACTGTTTTTATTTTCATCTCACTGATATGAGCCTCACTGTTTACTCTTTACTCTCTTACCCTCAACTATAATCCAATATTTCCTACTGCTGCTGTTTCACATTAAAAGCGTTCCACTAGTGAACACAGGGTTGGCTTTTATTGTGGAGCAGTCACATGAAACACAGTGCATTTGTCACAGAGGATAGTGCTGACTGCAACTGTTATTAAAATGTGAGTTTGTTTGGCTGCACTGTAAACAGATATACCAGTTGCTTTCTGTGGAATGTCTGACTGAGTAGGAGGGCTTGCCGTAGTATTAAACCACACTTGGTGTTATCACCAGTAACCGGGGTGTAGCAGACTCTTAAGGAGTATAACTTTGAATATCGATATCGGTATTGGCCTCACAAAAATCCAGCACCAGTTGGGCATACAAGATAAAGGTAAAGAAGCTGTTATGATAAAACAGGAGGAGGAATCCAGTGAAGCACTTGTATCACACCAAATAACAGATTCCCTCTGCGGCGTCCAACATTGTACATTTAAGTCTGCGATCCTTCACCTCCGTCCGTCCTCCTCCCCTTTCTTCATTTAAATCCCTCGCTCTCTAAAGCCTGCCTGCAGCTTCACAGTAGCAGCAGACATTGTTAAAGATAAACATCTTTGTGTCCCAAATTAGTTTGGCAGTGATATTTGTAGTTACAGTAAAAATGTGATAAACTCATATCTCTAAGAATTCGTAAAACTTAAACCGTTTTATTTGTCTATGAGGGCTAAAAGTCTGGGAGTGCACTGGATGGAGCTTCTCGAGTCCAGAGAGGCAATAAAATACATTCCTGGCCGACATGACAGCCTGTGTCTCTCCCCTGTAGGTCCTGCCTACTATCTGATAGAAGTGAACGCTGCCATCTTGGCAGGAAACGCAGCATTTTTGCTTGCTGAAAAGCTTTGCGTGAGTGTATCTATGCCAAAACCTTTCATCAGAAACAACCTTCTGTCTCTGAACTGTCAACTGTTCAGGAACTAAGCTCAGGCTTGATTTTAGAATTAAGAGTCGGTCCAACTGAGACTTGAAAACAGTTCCATAAACCCATGTGTTGCAAGAGTTTGGATGTAACATCAAAGATTTCACTGCTAAAAAAGTAATTTGCATGCATGTTTATGCTCCTCTGTTTGCGTGCACACATCAATACTTTCTTGCAAACAGATTTAAAAGTGAAGTGTGAGTATTGAAAACTGTAAAGTGTTGAAAATTGGCATAAAATGCTTGGTCAGATTCGTCCTGGTTACTTATTCTTTTCATATTTCTGGATTTAAACCTGCATTAATAGATTTTTTGAGCACTTGGGGGTAGCGCAACATTTATAAAGTCACCTTATTAAAGTTAGCAAATAGTTGCCTCTTTACAGACCCAGCAGAGCAACATTAGAATTCATTTGGAGTGTTTCCGACCACCTTATGAGTCCTTTTAGTTCAGTTTTGGCCTCCACCAACTCCTGAAGGAATTATCTGGCTCTTCAGCTACTAAATGTTCCACTATGCTCACCAGCTAGTCGCTATATATGTTTGGTGCTGGGCAAGTAGTGTACAGTGGGTTTATCAGAGCTTTTTCACTGAAAACAGCTGCCTGCAGCTGGAAATGATGTTGAAGAGAGCGTTGAGACTGAAGCAAAACAGTAAAGTTGTGATCTGAAATATGCTTAAACGTTCAGACGAGCTGAACGAGAGAAACTGCAGAGTCTCACCATGAGTGACTCCTTTCACGATCCACAAACTAAATTCATCCATTGTTAATATAAAAGTATTGATTAGTGCAGCTTTTAGGTTATACTTTTGCTAACATATTTAAAAATTCTTGGACGTTTGCTTGGACAAGACAATATTTAGCATTTGAGACGTTTAGCTTATTGAGAAATACAAAAAACTTTGGGGTTTGGTAGAAAAACATTCATACCTTCCTGAAAGTAAGTAATCCAAAACTGTGTTGTTTTGGAATTAGTGAATAAACTCAGGTATCATATTTGCACATATTTTGAAAAAAACAACCTAGTTTTGATAAAAATGGCAGTGCTACCATGCACACACATACAGCATTCCTCAACCTCCACACGTACAGTAGAGTTCTCATTGCAGGCCGCACCACTGCCAAACTCCTCTGGTCTTTTTAAGTCCTTAGCTTAAAGGGAAATACCACTCAATTTTAGCTTAAAAATACTCCTATGTTGTAGAACAGATGGGACTGTGTAACTGTTCACCTCTCTTCCTTCCAGAAACGAGGCAGAGGAATTTGTCCTGCTCTTTAGTCTGGGATGTCACACTGATACAGCTCTACTGCACACACACCGAGCTGGAAAAACGATGACACAGTCCAGAGTGTTTTATTTTCTCGGGGATCGGGGGACATTTTCCAGCGTGGAATCCATCACACTGTCACAATAAAGAAGCTTAAGGAACAAAAAAAATTTCTCTTTGGGCTTCAAAGTGAGTCTCCCTTTTTCTTTCAATGAGGGATTACAGTGTTCAGCTTTGGGGAAGAGCCGCTCATAAATACTGATTTTTACTGTGATGAGGCTTAAAAACAGGAAACAGAGTGATATTTCCCTTTAAGTGACCCCTAAGAAAAAGGTGCAATAGTAAATATGCTTTGTAATACAGTACATATCTCAATACCAGTCCATCAGAATCAGTCAGAGCAATGTTGCTACTGATTGTTGGACTAAAGGCAATGTCCAAGTTTTTTTTTTTAATATCTATGGTTCTTGCTTCTATGCTTGGTTGGACTCAGGAATGCTAGGGCAAAAGAGTCCATGGGAAGTAGTGTTTTATACTTAGAAAACTCTTTTTTCCCCCCCTTCTTTTCATTTTTGCAAGTTTATCTGAGTCCAGTTTGTCCCTTCCTATTCTGAGTTTAGGTTTCATCTATCTGTACTCAGCAGATAAATTAAGTTCTTTGCAGGTTTCTAGGTTGTGTGTGAGGTCCACAGTGTATATATACTGTATATATGTGTGTGTGTGTGTGTGTGAGACTGAGGAAGAGAGACGGAGGAGTGGAGGACTGTGGAGGAATGAGGGAGTACAGGGTCAGAGCGAGGGGACAGGCTTGTTCAGTCAGCCAGCGGATGAAGAATTGATCCGGGGGGAAATCTCTTTCGCCGCAGAGGGAGAAACAGAAAAAAGAAGTCTCGAGAAATCCGTCTGAAGAGTTATAAAAACTAAAAAAAAAAATATCTTCCTTTGTTGCATTTCTCTCCATTCCAGCCTTCATATCTGAATTCCTGAAAACCTGTGATTACATTAACATACTGTCTTTTTCCCCCTCCTCTCTTTAGTCCAGACATCTTTCTCCACAAAGTCAGATTTTTGGGCTTTTTTTTTTTCAGTAGCGCCTTTTGTCTTTTATTCGAGAATTTGTTTGTTCCAGACAGGTCATCTCTCTTTTTTTTCTGTCTCTCTGCCTCATTTTCCCCCCCACGCATCATTAGTGCTTGATCTCGGGGCCAGCTTTTCACCTCTCCCTTCTTATTTTTAAAGTCTCTCCCCCACTCTCTCTGCAGTCGATTGCTTGTTTTCTTGCATCAAAGTGCCGCCACTTCTTTTCACTTTTCATGTCCTCTCCTTTCTTCGCCTCCCTTCCTTATGCGATTCATCCCATGTGCTTCACTTCTCCCTTTATATTCCACACATTCCAGCAGTGTCAAAGTGCTCTGTCCTTCGGTCCCTTTTTGGACTTCCTCTTCATGCGTTCAGGTTTTCGTCTCTCCTTCTCTGCTTCCACTCTTTTTTTCAGTCTCCATTTTTGTTACATTCCAGGATTTCTTTTATCCAAATCCCCTCAGTGTGACTCCTCCTCCCCTCAGGGTTTCTTTGGTCGCCCGTTGCGCGGCAGGTTCTCCACCGTGTTGCTGAGCCGGTACTTGACGATGATGCTGTGCACTGTGGACTTGGGCATCCTCAGCTCCTGCCCGATGGCCCCCTCTGACTTGCCGTCCTTCCAGAGGTCCACCACTCGCTGCCGCTGCACCACATCGTGCTCCTTGGTCTTCTGGCAAGCAGCGGATGACCCTCCGGCGGCTCCCCATGCAGCTCCCCCGGTGGCCCCAGCAGCGGCGGCGGCTTCTGTGGGGGCAGACAAGCGGCAGACTGTAGTGGAGACTCGGAGAGGGGAGCAGGATAATGTGACACTTTACTGGTCCCCGTAGGGAATTGTCTTTTAGTTTGCCTCCCCCCTCAGCAGGGAGGTCAGAGGTCAGGGGAGCTACTGCAGCTGGCGGGGGGTTCAATGTCCAGCTCAAGGACACTTCAGCAGGGTGGGTGCTTGCAGTCATGAGGGCTTGAACCAGTGTGCTCCACTTGAAGGACAATCTCACTAATTTATACGTCCCTAAAAGGTGAAGTTTTGTCTAGAATGTGGGACTCCTTTTAGTGCAGATGAGTAGCTTCCTCATGGCAGTACTGATGGCTGAAACAGGTTTTCCAAAATGCAATTCAAGATATTGAGCAAACGCTGAGATATTGCCATGTGTGAGACAGCACAAAACAATCCTTCATTGGAGCATTTGGTATATCATTACATTGTGTAGCAAAGTTCACAGAGTGCAGCTAAAGTGGTAGATGTGAAGTTAAAAAGTGCCACGGCAGACATGCATATTTCTGGACATGTTTTGTGTATACAAGTGAGGGAGCTTCTCTCAGGAGATGGCTATTAATGGAGGGGAGCTAGGAGGTCACAGAATCAGAGAATTGTTGTTGTTTTAACTCCGTCCATTCCTCCTGCTCACTTTTTTCCTCCCTGGCTGAGTCTAAAACGGTCAGGAACCAGCGTAACCCCAATCAAGACCGTAAATGTGGCCTCATTTGCCGCGTGCTTGTGCCCTGCCAGAGTTCAGGATGTTCAGACTGCACTCGGCTCAGCTCGGCCTGTGCTCAAGCTCAGCTGCTCGCCGCGAGGCCCCCGCAAAGCAAAAACCCACAGAGTAACACAACTCGCGCGCAACTATTTCTGAACAGCCAGTGCCCGGGCCCAGCCCTCCACCGGTTCACAAGTCACAACACGACGTTTACACAACCAAACTCCTTCTGCGGTTTCTGTCCCTCTCAAAATACCTTGGTACAAAGTCCGAATGTTTTCTTGGCATGGCCAGATTCAGACAGGCTGAGCATAATGACATTTTCAGAGATAGGCTCTGGCTCTCTAAAATGCAATGCCTTTGACAGATGTCTCAGTCTACAATTACATAAATCAAGATACACCGAATAAGAGGCAGGCGCAGCACTGAGAGAAAAGCTGGGTGTTGTGGTTTTTAGGGCAAAGCTATTGGGGAATATCAGGTTTTACCAGTTATCTCTGCCACAGCTCTGCTATCTAAACATCTCCGAACACGAATACACACGCAGAGCGGAGAGTTGTGTCTGCTGCGCATATGCTGTTACCAAAGTAATTATGAGAAAATAAATTCACAAACTGCCAGTGTGCTCTGACAGACTGCAGGCAAGGGGAGTTGGACGAGAACCCAAAACAGATTTTTTTTTTTTATGATTTTAATTCTAAGGCTTTTAAATCAATAAGTAATGAGAGCCACAATAGGACTTGAAAAGAGAAAATAAACATGCTTGAAAAAGAAAATACTCCTCGGACAGGTTTGATAGCACTCCAGACTGTGCTTTATTGTTGCACAATGTACTGCTGAGCCGAGTATTGAGGTTTTGAGGTCGGACATGTTAATAGATGAAAATGCCTTAATATAGCAGTGCAGCACGTTTGTGTTTGATTTTGGTAATGTCTATTTCAGGTGTCTATCTGGCAGCCACATCAGAAACTCTGCTACAGATGGTTTTTTTCCAATATGGACTTTCTGGATTTCGAAGGTTTCACAACTTGGGCTGCTCAGAGAGATAAAGTGTCTATTCAAAGTGCTTAAAACAGTGCTGCTTTAGAAGCCATCAGGTAATTCTTTACTCCACATATTTAAGGATTATACTGAAATTTAAGAGTTAAATAACACTGTACTGATCACATGACTATAGCGCATAGACATTTTCCTGAAATACACAATTCCCAGAGACAGTCATTTTGATGAAGCCTGGAATCTTTTTTTTTTATTTTCTTTGCTAAATGTTTTTCCACAACAACATAACCATATAAAGCTGGGATTCCTCAGATGATATCTTTAAATAGAAGCAACATTTTGGACTGGTCTTGCCCATCAGCAGTGAAAGTTGCCAAGTAATCAAGTCCAGAACTCTAAAGCCAGGTTTGTGCTTCTCTGTCAGGGTGTCGTGGAGGCGCTGTAGCTCTGCTGGAGCTGATGTGCACCCCCTCAAAACTCTGACTACATTGCAGCTACAGAGGCCACCAGAACTGTGATTGGTGGTCTGCTTGTGTCCTTTCAGATTTCTGATGCTGCTAGAGATTGTTTTCTTTTCGGTAATGTTTGACACATTAATATTTTTGAGATCTAGTAAAGTTTTTTGGGTGCAAACCTCCTTGCTGAAATCGTAACTCTCTATAACTTAAAGGAGCGCTATAGCGATTTAGTATTCCCCTTGCACAAAGTTGTGAGCCTCGCAAGAGATACATTAAAAGAACAACGGTGAAAATCGAGCAGAGCACACGCCATAATATCCTGTCTTTTAGTACCTAGAGTGGGTCAAGATACAAAAACACTGGATCCTACAATTCCCATAATGCAATCGAGTCTTTTGTTAGACCCTCTTCGTCTGGTAAATGCAATAACAAAATCAGGGTTATTCCTTGACATCATACAACAGCTCACAGGCTATTACTCCTTACGACAAGTAAAAAAGAACTAAAATTGACGGAGTGCCCCTTTAAAACAATTACTTTGACAAATTCACATTTTTAACTTGAGCTAGCAAAGCGACTTCTGGTCCAAAATCTTTCCATAATCATCCTCTATCACTAAATAAATCCATCAGGTGTATAATAAATGCACAACAATAATAAAGCACTAATTCTTCTGTTGCTGTGCTGCTACATCAATCAACAGGTTAAATTCTCCGCAGAGCTATAAATCGGTTCTCATGCCAGAGGCAGCTACAGTGAGACTGCAAGAACACCTCCGCAAAGAAGCATAAATCAGGCTTAAACTGCCAGTGTCACACAGATCAAACGTGCTGGTATTCTTGTGTAAATTACCTTGAATACTATAATTATGGATGCCTTGATGTTTGATGTTACTGATTGTTCACAATCACCTCTCACACACACACACACACTCACAGATTCATACATAAAGCACTCGCACTGGCAGATGAAGCCTAATGCTCCCTCTTAACTGATCCATGAAGTAGTTTCTAAGTAAGATAAAACATTTTTCCGCACACAAATGTGTGTATTTGAACCTGCTTGTGGCAGCTTTTAATTACAGTGTATTGACTTAAATAATAAAACAAAAACAAAAATGTATAGATGCCAAAATTCCACATTTCTAGGGCATCAGTTAAAATGAGCAAAAATTGGCAATGCTCATTGATGGAGCTTCAAACACTGACCTGATATGAAGGATCCGGGCGGCATCTGACTGTAGTTGGCCCCTCCCATGTGTAGTGCGCTCGGGGGGGCGGGGGTAAAGGGGGCTCCGTAGTTCTGAGGAGTCGCATAGGGTCCCGGAGGTATGGGCTGCACAGAGCAAGAGAAGTTCTTTGTCAGGAATTATGTGCATGTAGGAAGTTATTCATAGAAAGAGAAAATATAACAATAAGAGAAATAAGACAAAACACTTTTAGGTTCCATAGGATGATAAAAGAAATCTGCTGACTAAACTGTTGAGGAGTGAAAAATCACAGGTAGATGACAGAGATAATGGGCTCTGTGTTTTTATTGGCCGTCCTCCATCTATTATTTTTCCACTGCAGGCAGCTCGAGCAGGTTTCTACTTGTGAGTGTGGCTGTTTTTTGGTGCGTGTGTTTTAAATGTCTGTGTGTGTGTGTGGTGTGTGGTGTGCTGTGTGTTGTGTGTATGTGTGTGTGAAAAGGCAGGCGGCTGACCGGGGGTGTGTGCGTCTCGGTGCCCTTGCTGGCCAGTCGGCTGAGGATGCTCCTCTCGGACATTTGCAGGCGGGCGGCGATGGGCGGGACTCTGGACAGCGTGGCCGGTAGCCGGGTCACGTCAGCCTTCATGTCACTCAACAGCTCCTCCAACTGGTTCAACACTGCAATAACAACAACAAATGCTTACCCCTCTTATCTGTGATTTGATGCTTTATTTTGAGACATTGTTGATTAATACAGAAAGATTTATCCGCGTTTCTTCCTGAAGGTTGAACTCAAGAGCTGGTACCGTATTTATTCAGTTACTTCAGTATCAACATTAGAAAGTAAAAACAGGTAATATTATTTCATTTAATGTCCAGTCACTTCAACTCTAAAAGCTGCTTGAGAAGCTGACTTCTTTTGCACTAAAAAGTAAAAAAAGAAAAGTACTTTAAAAGTTAATATGATGATAACTATGTGGCTTATTATTATTTATAGGGTCCGAACTCAATAAATAGTCAGTTTAAAGGTCTAATCTTTCCAGATAACTTTACTTTTGGGGCTGATTAATTCCAAAAAAAGCTAATTTTCCTCTTATTTTTTGCTATTTACTATTTTTCATTTCTGTTCCCATCCTTTATTATCTCTCCCCTCTGTCATCACATCCGTACATGGACTCAATGACTGACTGGAGACAATTTGATAAAAAAAAAATGTTTATGAGCACTCATTAAGTGCAGAAATACAAGACAAGAAACAAGAACAGTAGTGCAGTGGCGTACTCAGCATGTTATCCTTTCGACAGAACGACATAAACATGGACAGACTTGCCAGGAAGCCAGTTAGGAAATGTTTGGAGCTATCACTTAACATGGTGTAAGCTTATCTGCCTGGCTTTACTAAAGTCAGCTCCAGGCAGAGCGATTCGGTCGCTGATTGCACAACAGCGCTGGGAGATGTGTTGATGTGTATCTCTATTTTTATTGTACGCATGTGATTATCAGTCTGCCAATCTCTCCTCACTTTTCTCTGTTTGCTCCGTTCGCACACACTGAATAAGCTTTTTTTATTAACTCTACACACAGATTTCGGAAATAATTATTGGCATCATCCCTGACCTTTGTGCAGGACAGCGTTGGCTGGCTTGTTGCCCGCCAGTGACTCCTTGCTGAGGTGCTGGTGTGACTCCGCGAGGCATTCCACCTCTGCAAAGCGTGCGTTGAGCGCCATGGCCGGGTGGCTGGGGTCCTGGGTCATGTTCAGATAGGCCGCCCGTCGCAACTGCTCCTCTATCACCAGCGCCTGCTCCAACAGCTGGAGGACAAAGGATGGTCGGGAGGTTTGGAGTTACAGAATGTGGAAAGAAGAGAAAGAAAACGTATTGAAGTCCAATGTCACTTGTAGTGTAATTTCATTGCGACATTTTGGTCATATCTGGTGCATCTTTTCCAACCAAAGTCCATTTTATTTTATTTTTTATGTGTCAAGATGTTTATGTTGCATTTTAAATATGAAGACAAAGGGATTATTTTCATTGTAGATGTTTTAACGTCACAATGGTCGATTTATAAAAAGAATAACCTTTCCTTACGTTTGCTAAACCCTTATAAAGTATATAAATAAATAAAAACAAAACAAGGAAAGTCATCGCTCTCCATCACCAAGTGAAGTGAAGGTTCAGATGTATAATGAAAATATACCGAAGACTTTTATTTTGATGCATAAACTATGATTGCACTTTCCATCTCTACCATTTTAAACTATTTTTTTATGATGAATGTAAAACTGAAATATTACTTAAAAAAAAGACAGAAACCAAAATGTTTTACCAAAGATTTTAAACTTGTTTTTTTGGTCTGAGATCAACCGCAACCATCTCGCCACTATCAACAATTAGTTTTAATGTTTTACAGCTGTGAGAATTTCCGTTATATAGTGCATTGTGGGATACTAGTTTCCATCAACAGCACACTCCAAAAACAAGAGATTTTTAGTCAGTCAGTAAGTAAGTCAGTTAAACTGTAATACAAATATGTGAAGATTCAAATGGTGAGATAAAAAATTAATCGAGACATCGATCGTGGTATTAAACCGCAAAGACGAGTTTCACTTCTCAAAAGGCAATATGCAGTGTTTTGTGTTTGATTCACAACCCTAGTATCAAATACGGAACTGGGACCAAACACTGGTGTTTTATTTTGGCAAATACGGTTAATTTATGAAGAATTATTCACTGTTGCCCCAGTTTGTGATTTATACTATTATATCTAAGTTCTATGTGACTGAGAAAAAATTAAAAACAGCAAGAGAATGAGAGAAATAAAGATGTGAGACACAACAATTACAGAAGATTAGGAAAAAAGACACCTATTATTTCTTATGCAGGTCAGTGTCTTCCAGCACACTGCTCCAGATTTCAGTCTCCTCAGAGACAGAGTTGTAGAGAGTCTATATATATATATATATATATATATAAAACTTATAAATCCTGCCCTGCACAGTCACTGAGAAGTATGAAGATATCACACATGCCCCTGCCTTTTTTAGATGGAAATCACTAATGTAATGTAAGGAAAAGTAATACGATACATTTGAACATGGATACAGGGACAAAAAAGATCAAACCGGGCTTAAAAAGCTCTTTTAAGTTTGATTCCTCCCTCTGTTCCACCCCACTCTTATTATAGCCTGTCTGAAAACTGCTCCAATCGTCTCTCATTGACTCTTTCTGACACTTTTAAGCAATGTATCTGTGTCTTGGTTGGCATAGCGACAGTAACGCAAGAATTTCAAGGGAACTGAGGTTTCATACAGTTGTGGGTGTTTGTCCCGTAAAAAGGAGTTATTTATTGTAAACGTGTTGCACAACTTATCATGTTACACAACAATTACAACTAAAAACATAAGAAGCGGAATTGGTGTGGGGAAAAATGAAATGAAATTGCCCTGCCTTGTGCGTTATTGACGACTTACAAAAAAAAACTCAGATAATTTGGCAAGAGAGATAACGAGAAATAATGAAAAGTAAAAGAGACAGAGATACAGTAAATGAGGATGTTGAGGGCAGGATCTGAAACATGTGAGCCGGTCAAAAACAGGATGAGAGCTGTTCCAGAAATGCAGCGGTCAGCAATACCATCCAGCCAATATGTGGGTCTAGGGGCATCCGCCATCCGCCATCCGACCATCGAACAAGTCAGGTGATCGAAGACTCTGTGAAATGTTACTAAAATAGTGTGTTTGTGGAAAAGTAATGCTGGGTTTTAAACCTCGAGACTTTTCTGATAAAAACCACAACGTGTCCTAGTTTGACATAGATTTGAACCTACCTACTAAGTTTTTAACTGGTTATGAAACAGTCTCAATTTAATATTGATGCCTGTGTATGACCTACATAAGCACACCAGACCATCAGTGAGAAAATTGGCTATTTCTATATAGTCGTTCTTAATGTTGATTACCCTTGAAATCAATGAAACAAGGCAGTGGAAACGGTACCGCTTTTGTTCACAGGGGCCGCCAGAATGAACAAAAAGTTCTTTGTCGCTGCTTTAAATAGAAATTTTGCAAGGTTTTATAGAGAAACATGTTATTTTTTGGAAGAAATATTATTTATCAAATAAAAAACGACATAAATCTAAAAAATCTAATGTGTCTCTACTTCTGGAAGTCAAGCTGCAACTGTAGCCACGTCTTACCTTAAAGCGTCGAGCCAGGAACTTGTTCTTCATCTCCAGGAAGTTTCCTTTATTCGCTTGCGATTTGAAAGGCTCGTTGACGATGGCGAACTGGGGATCGTTCTGGATGTCCTGCCACCGGGCGTAGCCGTGACTGGTGCAGGGGTCAAGGGTCATGTAACTCATTGGGTAAGAGATAGTGTGGCCATCGTGTGGGCCATCATCTTCCCTGCCCAATATTGTTAAAGTAACATCACAGTGATGCCAAACAAGGAAAGCTATGAACCACATAAGAAGAATTAGAGTTCAATATTTTGAAAATATGTTAATTTGCCTTTAAAAATATGCCTCCCAGCACATCTAAAGCTCACTATCTTGTTTTTTTTATTCATACACAACCAGAAATGTATAATATAGTATAATTGATGCACCTGTTCCTTACTTTTAGTGGTTCTTTCTTTCTTTGACATTTATGTTGAGAGTAGCTGAGGATTTTGAAATAAAAGTTGGTGCATAAAAATTCACCAGAATGCAGGAAATGAAGTCTGACTCTCAAAATCTAATGGGGGAAGACCCTCAGACACCCCGCTTGATTTACATCCTCCGGGCATGGGGCCGCTGGCAAGGTGTCCCTTATTTTTCCACACTGAAGGTGGCAACCGTACTTCTAACTCTCTGAAAGAAAGCATGAAAGTTAATTTCCCAAAATCTTGAGCCATTACTTTGAGCTTAACATTGGTTTTGGATGGGGATTTATGCCATTATTCATCCTTAAAATACAAAATTGCAGTTATTTTCTCACAAAATAGGTTTCAGTCAGCTTCTGAAACAGAGCATTTCTCTCCTTTTATTTCAGCCTAACTAGGCCTCAGCATTTACTTGCAGAATAATGAAAACAGAGTTTTATGTGAATGCTGCATGGCCTTAATTACCATAATAGAGAGAACAACATGAACTAAATGAGCCACTACATCAGCTTCCAGCAGACACAGTTTGCTGTTTACTGAGCTCTGGCTGGCTTGTTGACTTATTACACCGGGCTTCTGCTGGCTGATAGAAAAATAAACGCACCGGGTCATCGCCCGGGCAACTGCTGTCAAGGATACATCACGATTCCCGCCAGCAGCCAGAAGTCGTGTCGGCGGTGCCAGATCTCGTTCATCTTCCCCGAGGAGATGGCAGCCCGCTCCTCATTCTGCCAGAGAGTGTGCAGCTCTGCGGGGTGAAGCCAACACAAAGTAAAAACGAGGCTGGTCTCAAAGTGCTTAGCTAGCTGAAACCTGGCTGCAGGTGTTTCCACAGCACAAAGAGCTTTTTTCTGGGTTGGTGATCAAGGTGGAGATCATTTTAACTCACTGCTGCTTTTGTGCAGAAGCTCTGGAAAGCAAGGGTAATGTTTTTTTGTATTAGTCGTGAATTCCGTGCTGTTTGGACTGCTTAGTGACTTGTTTGGACGACTCAAGAAGTTATTTTCACCTTTCTCTCCTCACCTGTCAGGGAGTTTTTTTTATTGAAGAAAAAAGCTGATATTCCCATTCTTAAAATAGAAGCTAAATTACATTATCTTTTTGCCTTTTATCTCTTCGAATATCTAATGACAAGGGATATGATTAATACTTAAAATATTGAAATAAAACAATTTAGTTCTTGCAACTAGAATCTTTATTAGCCGACATTATTTTGATCTGTCAGGGATCGTCTTCGGCTGTTCTATTCTGAGATCTAAGGAAGGTCTTTGCAGGACTGACACTGTCCCCACCAGAAGGGTCACTTTACCAAACCTCAGGCAGGGAGGAAAAAACAATCATCTAGGCCTGAAAACAAAGCACCCTCTCCAGGTCATAATCACTTCCATCTTAGCAAGAGGCTATTGCTGCGTTCATGTAATATCTGAATTACCATAATTACTGGTTTCCAACTTAAGTGAAAAATTGTGACAGAAAGAGTTTCCTGCAGGTTTGTCATTTAAGTTAATTACCTGAATTGCTACCTGAGTGCTATGTTGTCAATTAGGGCAGCAACCAAGACTTCTTTTCATTATTGTTTCTTGATTAATCCTTTGGTCTTTAAGACATAAAAAGAACTGATATCCTAGAGCCCAAAGTATTGTCAACCAACTCTTACATTTGAAAACGTGAAATCATCAAATATTTAGCATTTCTGCAATAGTTGAAGCTGTATTTTTCTCTCCAGCTCCATTGTCAATGCACAGTACTGTATTTTTAACCCTCATGCAACCATCTTGAGTCGTGAGATGAGATGTGTCGTAAACATCTTTTTTGTTTTACTCCCAGCTGTGTGCTTCACGTGTCCCAGTTTAAAACACATAACTCACACAACCGATAACCCCTACAATGCATTGCTGCATGCGCACTGCCACATAGATCATTTACTTCTTTTCCACAACCGCTGCAGGTAAATCAGAACTGACCAGTGAAGCCGCCATCTGCGATGTTGAACATAAAGCGAGGTCGCTCAATGGGAGGTTTCCCGTTACCCTTGGGCGCCTCCTCCTTCGCTGCTTTGACTTCTTTCCCAGGATCCTTTTCACCTTTGACTTCCTCTGTTACAAGACCGGAAAGGTATCATTTAGCAAAAAAAAAAGTGCCTATGTATTGACAGGAGAGTAGTATCACAGACAGTGTGAGACGTACCTTTCTTCACATCAGCCACCTCGGGCTTATCCTTGCCATCTGACGCTTCCGTTGCTGTGAGAGCATCTTTGTCTTTTTCCTTCTCCTCCGCCGCCTTCTCTCCTTCTGCAGGGCAAAACATTACAGTTAGCAAGGACTTCCTGCATTTCTCCATACACAGCTTATCAAGTTTATTTTCTGTGTTTTTCTTTTAACCTGATTTCTCTTCTTTGACCTCTGCGTCTTGCTTTGTTTCTTCCTTACTCTCCTCCTGTGCTTTTTTCTCCTCTGTTGGAGTGTCAGTTTCTTTCTTCTCCGCTTTCAGGTCGCTCTCTTCTTTGCCTTCGGCTTTCTGACTAGGAGACGCGGTTTGTGATGTCTCTTTTGTCGAAGAGGAAAGCTATGGAAAGTAGCACAAAATGCTATCACTCACTTATTTAGACTATTTTGTTGTTGCATGATATGGCTTTTACGTTACAGAGAAAAGCTATGGAATTTAATTATTACTCTTGATTCAGTTTAGTCAGTTTATTCAATTTACAGCTTTTTCAATTTGTAATTAAACAGACCGCATCAGTCTCTTTCTGTGTTGTAGCCTTTTTGCTATTCATTTCAGAAACATAACATTTTGGACGACCATTTTTCAGAGCATGCAGCAGTGGTTTTTGTTTGTGTTTTTCTAGCTGACAGGCAGCCACTTTGATTTTCACGATATGAAAATGCCACTTTAATTCCATTGAAAGCACAATTTATTTTAAGTCCGTTTGCCACACAATAACAAGGTTTATTTTTATCTTCAAGCTGTATGAAAGTGAGCAGAAAAACCTGACGGGAAGGAAGGAAAAAAAAACAAATACGATGGCGTGCCTTGGAAAGTTGTTGAAAGTGATGTCAAGTATATGGGATGTGTGGTAAAACACAAGTAACTCAGGAATGTGACTTAAAAGGAGGTGTAAAGGTTTTAAACTCCATCTGCTTCTCTTGATAAAATTAATATTTCATAAAATGGATCAAAGCCCAGGCATATGTATAAAAATGCAATAATGAGCTGATTAAGAACACACTGTAATTGGCCTCTGAAAACCACAGAACATATATGTTTCAGCTGTTTTGAGGACAGTGTCCCACCTCCTCAGGGTCTGCCGTCCTGTTGCTCTCCACCTCTTTCCCCTCATCCTTCTCTTTCACTTTGTCTTTGTCAGACGGAGCCTCGCCTTCCTCTTTGTCCTCCTCCTTTTCTACCTCTTTTCCGTTCTTTTCTAGCTTGTCTACTGGAGCAGGGGTTGCTGCATATGTTCAGACAAATAAACAACAACACACACAGACACTAGTGTAAGTTATATTCATCTCAAACTTTATCTGGAGCCCTTTACATGGAGTGCCCCCTGCTGGATCTGGTGAGCGTATGTTTGGTTACCTGGCTTGGAGGTGCAAGGTGTGTTGTTATAGCTGGCATCTGGGGTGGGTGTGGCGGTCTTCACGGCGGGAGAGGAGGCCCTGGAGGAGGTTTTGTCTAGGCTGACCTCAGGCTTGAGCTCTGGAAGACTCCACCGCCCGTTGATGTGCTCAAACTCCTGGATCTGGACACAAAACACTCAGCAAAATAAAAAAGCTTGGCACACACTCACTTTACCTAATACCACCTTATTTAAACTCACCACCCACATGCCCTGTTCGCCTGGCAGTATATCATACAGTTCCCCTGGCATAGATAGCAGATCAGTGAGCAGGTTTCAACAAGTTGGAGTGAAAACCGGATTGAAGATGTTTGGATAAATTTAACTAAACTGGATAATCAGAAGATCTTTCAAGATGTCATGGTGGATTTCTTCACTAGAAAATTTAGAAATGTATTTTTATTCATGACCTAAAGACTATATTGTCTTTGCAGTTTGCTGAATTAAAGAGAATTTACAACTTCATATAGGCCTGTAGACACCATGCTGATATGGAGGCACCCTATTAAAGTTATAATACTGTTTTTGATACTATTTATGGTGAGCATTTTTAGAGCCATTCAATGTATTTGCAGTATGCATCTCTGTATATCGCAGTTTTCATTGTTAGTGGTGGAATATTCGCCTCACTGTTGATTTCCGATCTCTTAACGTCATTTCGGGGCTGTATGAAGTTACTGCTAATGCAAACACAAGGTGGACGGCTTTGGTCTGACCTTCTTCTTGACAAGAGACATGACGCCGATTCGGGTGAGGACCGGCTGCCGACACAAGCCTTCCCTCGGCACGCCATCTGCAAACGTCTCAGCGCCATCAGCCACCGGCTCACATAGGTGACGCATAAAGAGAGACACGTAAGCTCTGGCAAAGGAGAAGAGAAGGAGAAATATATGCTTAAAGTAGATTGGAGAAAGATTGTGTCCATTTTAATCAACACAGTTTTTCCTTACTTGAATTCTTTCTCAGTCTTGCCCCTGAGATCTCTGACCAGCCACTGTGAGGAGAAAGCGTCCTGAGAGGGCATCCCCCAGCGCATCACTGCGTTCAGGAAAGCCTTTCGCTGGCGTGTGTTAAATCCCAGCACCTATTGATGGAAATGACGGTATATTTTATATATTTAAAATGTATTTTTATATTCCTAAGAGTGAAGCTGGCACCGTCTGGACATCGGAAATAGTGCCAGTCTGTTCAAAAGTGTCTGTGTATTGGTATAATTCTGAAAGACCTTAAATGAAAATTTTAGTAAAAGACATCTGTGTATTTTTCAAACTTCACATGGCCCTTTTTAAATAGCTCTGACTGCCTAATAATGCTAAAATAAACTTTGAATAAATTGAACAATGCAGGCCATTATAACCACGTATACTATTATACAGGATGATAAATGAGCTTGGAAAGTTCAGAGTCGTTCGAGATGTAATAGCTTCGCTGCCACCTCCAATTCAAAATTGTAAGATTGTTAGAAAAATATCTAAGCGTGCAAGTTGAACTTGAAGCAAATCTGACAGATTCCAGTAATATCATAATATTAAAAAAAACACATACAAAATGAAAGCACAACTGGTTCCAGAGAGTTGTACAAACCTCAAGGTTGCCTCCCACTCTAGCCAGAAGAGGAGGGAGAGGTTTATCCTTCTCATTTCTCAACTGGCGACGCGACTGCCTTCGACCTGCAGGTAACAGGAGGCAACGTAAAGGATGGTAAAATACACAGAGGAATAAAAGATGTGAGGAGAGGGAGAATCTTACATTTTCATTTAAATTTACCGTTTGTAGATCATTAGAGCATCCAACAAAGAATCAAAAACTTCTGAAATGCTTCAAGCATTTTCCTCTGACTGTCTGAAGTATGGGGGGAGGAGGTGGATGGAGGTTCGCATTTTTTGGCAATCTAACTGGTTCAACTCTGCCAGGCGACTGTAACAACTAAATCAATTTCAACCTGTAATTCAACACAGACCCGACGAGTGTGTGTGTGTGTGTGTTACAACAGGCGTCTTTCATTGTTCATGAGCAGCACTGCTCGGTCTGACGTCTCTTTTTTATCATCGCTCCTTACCTTCTGGCCGATCATCAAAGTCCTCGTCCTCCTCCTCCGAGCCCACTGAATACTCGGACTGGTTATCTGAAATGTCAGCATGCCACTCTGAAACAGCACATGGTGGTCTGTCAATAGGCCAGGCCCATTCACTTCCATCGTGCAAGCAATAACTCAAACAGAAGAGGTATCATCTAAAATCCTAATATTTCTACTGAGATCGTAAGATTACAACAGTAAATCTTAACAATGAATAAAAATCTTACTTTCAGGCTAGAAATCACTCAGCATTATGTGGAAGAGGATTCATTTTTAAATCCAGGGCTTCCCAAAAGAATCTTAGCTCCTCTTGTACTGCTAACATGATCCTAACACTAAGGTCTGATTGATATAAAACAACTTACAGGTCTTTACTCGGCTTACTCAAGCTTTTTAGGACTGCCAGGTCCAAGCTCAGTGCCTACCTTGGTCTTCCTGCGCTGCATCGTTGTAGTTGACAGGCTTGCGGTTCCTCTTGCCTTTACCCAGTTTGCTCGCCAGGTCCTCCTGTTGCTGCTCGTAATGATGCCGCAACAGTTTCTCCCAGTAATCCGGATCCACGTTCTCCTCCTGTTTGATGATCTCCCGCTCGATCTCCTCGATCTGTAGCATCAAAAAAAAAATACAGTTGACAAAACTTGACCACTTTTTAACCAATCTTTCCCAAAGCCCAACTTGATATCTACAAAATGCTTGTTTTGTCCAACAAAAAAGATCGAAAAGACTAAAATATTTAGTTCAGTATCACAGAACAAGAAGAAAAGCAGCCCAACTTCACATTTCAGAAGCTGAAACCAGTGAATTATTGGCCTTTTTACGTAAAGAAATAGTATCTTCTATACAATAATACATGAAATCTGTGTAAAGATGCTACCTGAGTGCTTCTGAAAGGTCTGTGTGTAATTCTTAATTTTGTGAGTAACAATAATAAAACAGACCAAATAAACTCTTTTCTCTTTCTGTTATTTCCTAACTTGTATCAGGACTTATTTGTGTTTTGGGAGGATAAAAAACAGCTGTATTTATAAAGTACTTCTATCCAAAACAGACCATCGGGAGCCCAAGACCACAGCCACACACACACGACAGTACACTCTGCAGTAATATCTGTAACATCCTGTTCACCTTATCCTCCTCTCGGACCATGTACTGGGCCACTTTGAAGGAGCTGAGGTACTCGTTCATGTTCTGGACGTCCGAGTCGTCCGTGGCGTCTTGGCTTCGGTCCAGCAGCCTCTCGATGGCAGTGCTGTCGTAGTGGATCACGCTGCCCTCGTCCTCAGCTTTATCCCTCGAACTGTTCTTCATACCTGCCACGCGTGGGGTTAAAAAAGCGGAGACGATTTGTCTTGTTCTTCCCGACGAGTTTTGTAAATAAAATTGTTCTTGTCAACCAATAAAACCTGAATAAGCCAAGTGATGTCCTCTGGCCAAATGTGTCAGGATGAAAGGACATTAAAGTGAGTGTGTTTGACAAAATAATTTCATGCAGTAGAGGAAGCCTGCCAACTCTTCTCTATTAAAATCAACCCCACACCAACTCTGACCCAACAATAAAAGCGTCAGATTCCTCCATTTACTAACTAACTTCCCTTGACAAAAATCACGCGTAGCGCAAATAAACCTCACCTTCTCCTTCATCCTTGAAAAGCTCTTCTGTTCCAAACTTAAGGATGTCGTCCAGTTCCTGTTTGGTCATGGAGCCAGCTTTGGATCCCAGGCCTGGCCGGACCACCAGGTGGGTCAACATCATCTTCCTCTTGGCCACCTGCGTGATTCGCTCCTCCACGCTGGCTCGCGTCACAAAGCGGTAGATCATCACTTTGTTGGCCTGCCCGATTCGGTGGGCTCGACTGAACGCCTGGGCGGATAGGGAGAAAGCAGACAGGTGAAGTTTATGTCGTATTAAATCGTTTCCTTCCTTAGCGGCTGCCAGTCTGCAGTACCTGTATGTCATTGTGAGGGTTCCAGTCAGAGTCAAAGATGACGACTGTGTCTGCTGTGGCCAAGTTGATTCCTAAACCTCCGGCTCTGGTGGAGAGCAAGAAACAAAACTGACAAGCACCGGGAGCTGTAAGCAGAGAGACGGAGAGAGTGTGAGAGACTCCCACTGACACTGACTCTTATATCCCCACCCCACCCTCTGCACACTACATTAACATTACGTAGATAAGTTACCATTGAGAATACTCTTTATGCTTAATACTGGGATCTCTTGCACATTCCTTGGACAATATTTTGCACATTCCTCCACAAACTGTACCACTTTCGTTCAAAATAACAGTCATATTGACACAATGTCTCTTGTTTTATTGTTATATGTTATTGTCAATTTACTTTGCTTTTTTGCTATTGCTATTACTTTATTTATTATTTATGTTATTTTTGGGAGTGCCTGGATTGCCTTTTTGTTTTCCACCTCTTAACAATGTTACAATGATGGTAACTTGATGGCTTTTTGCCCAGTGCCTTGAGTGTTTGTTTGTAAAGTGTTGGCAGTGGAGCAAGTGTTGTTTTTCCAGCTTGTGATACAGTATGGGATAAGCAAAAGCAAAAATTGAGTGCATGAATAGTTTTGCTGCATCAAATGGGAGTTTCTTTTGCATAAACTTAAAGTTCCTCTCATTTAATTTTATGGTGTTACACACCAGCTTCATGTGTTTCTTAAAGAACAACTGTGAGTCAATAAGAATTCCCAGATATCTAAACTGAAGCAGTCTGAATCATTTCACCTGTTACAATTTCTGGTTTACTTCAATTTTTCCTTATATAAAAGTATTTATAAGCATTTTTACTCATATTAGGTGTCTGGCAAGACTGAGAATTTTTGGGAACTACTCAAGGGAACAGGAGGAGAGAACACCTTGTGCCAGTGATAATGATGTATATCCCACTGGTGACCAGTAGAGGTGATGGAGAACTTACTGCACCTTTAATGGCTGCACATCATCCAGTATCTCACCATTGAAGCGGTCAATGGCCTCCTGTCTCAGTGCTCCCGTGATGCCTCCATCAATTCTTTCATACTTATAACCTTCATGGTCCAAGAAATCTTCTAGTAAGTCCAACATTTTAGTCATCTAAACAAGGAGGAGAGAAGGAACGCCGGTTATGCGAGTAAGCTTTCATTAATACTCAATTGCCCACACACAGCTGGAATCAGTCGTCTGCTGAGCCTTCTGGAGGTGTCATGGGACTGATTTAACATCTGTGAATAGAGGTATCCATCTGGTGTGTGTGTGTGTGTGTGTGCGCGTGTATACTTGCCTGTGCTTATTCATTCTGGAAATGTGTGTCTGTGCGCGTGTACCTGCGAGAAGACCAGTACTCGGTGCCCCTGCTCTTTCAGTTTCCTCAGCATCTTCTGCAACAGCATCAGTTTCCCAGAGGCCTTAGTGAGGGCCGATCCTTCGTAAGCACCATTGGGGGTTTTTTGTGCTTCCTACAAACAGCCACAAAACATACCAAAAGGTAAATAACAGTACACAGCAAGTAGAAATATGACACAAAAGCACTGCTGAACATCACCACAAGGTGTCACTGTTCTGTTTTGCAGGAGTAATTCAAAGCAAATGGATAGAAATAAGTCAAATACTAGCAAATAATGAAGGAAAATTATGTAGCATGGATCCTTCTTCAATTCTTTCATCTAACGCTTCATATTCCAACTACTAGAGGGGCTGTTGTCAAGGACAAGAGTGTGTGTGTCTGTCTGTTCTCACCATGGAGGCGACAGGAAAGAGGTAGGGGTGGTTGCAGCACTTCTTTAGGTCCATCATGATGTTGAGCAGGGAGACCTGGTTTCCTCCGCCTTTCGAGTTCAGAGCCTCGAAGTTCTTGGTCAAAATGAGCTTGTAGTATTTCCTGTATTTAAAAATGTAAAGATAAATGATCAGTGCTGTACATATTATATGTAAACCACATATTAAAATATTATTGAAAGACTAAGATAAACTTCTTTCTTAGTCTCCTCTCTACCCTCCATTGTTCATTTTTTAATGAAAAAAAATACCCTGAAGAATGGTCGTTTTCTACTTTAAAATTACATATTAGATTTATAATTTATAATATAAAGACATTAAAGGGAACAACCATTATAGATTGTCCAGCTACTGATAAGTACAAAGATTGCTATAAATACATTTAAACCACATTAATCAGTGGCAAAATTCAAATACTCACAGCTAATCAATCACGGTCAATGGTATCTGCAGGTAAAAACATGTCAGGAATAGTTTAAACTGGGCTAAATTTGACATTAAAAAGTTCTTTAAAAATGTTTCGGTTGAGATTATTACAACAGTATTTCAACAACTAGTTCAACATGAACCAAGCCCTATAATACTTCTGATTCACACTGAAATAAAGTCACTGAAGAGGTGATGAAACAATGGTTAAATGTAACCTAGATTTCTAAGAAAAAAAAAAACTTTTAGCCTAGTTTTTACCTAGTTGTCCTTCAAAGAAAAACATGCCTATGGGGAATTTGTTCTGCAGTTCTGCAGTCCTCCACTGTTGACTACTGAGCATCCTCACAATGCCTTGTTCACAAGAACGTAGCCTAAGCGGTCAATGTTGTAACTAGAGGGGAATGTTCCTTAGTTTTCCCCCCCATCACCAGCCTGTATCCACATTTCCCCCTAAAACCCTCCCGCGTGTCGTACTTCTGCATGGGGCTAAGCTCCACTCGGACAATCAGCTCGGTTTTGGCGGGCATGTTCTTAAAGACGTCGGCCTTCAGCCTCCGCAGCATGTGAGGCCCCAGCAGGTCGTGGAGCTTCTTGATCTGGTCCTCCTTAGAGATGTCAGCAAACTCTTCCAGGAAGCCCTCAAGGTTACTGTACAGAGAGATGGACTGGGTGAAGGACTGGTAATACTGGTAGGTTACTGGTTCAGATTAGCACATATTATCTTCATCAGTGAATTATCACTAAAAAGGGACAGAACAAAATACAGAATTCTATAGAAAAATATTATTATTTTGGCCAACAACAAACATCTTTGTATGTATACGTGTGTGTGTGTGTGTGTGAGAGAGAGAGAGAGAAGTCCTACTTGAAGCGGTTGAGGAAGTTGAGCAGGTGAAACAGCTCCTCCAGGTTGTTCTGTAGAGGAGTTCCTGTCAGCAGCAGCTTGTGGTCGATCTTATAGTCATTCAGACGCCTGAAAAACTGTAGACGAGAAAAGTTAAACTCCAAAAATAAGCATAAAACTATGTCATGTAATGCATGAATTCCTTTATTAATGGTTATTGTGTCATTATTAATGTAATTTTCTAATGTATAGTTGTTGTAAAGTGCTGATGCTGAGTAGATTATTATTGGTATAATAAAGTAAGTTGAATTTGACACACTAGCTACAGTACCTTGGACTGGTTGTTCTTCAGCCGGTGAGCCTCGTCCACCACCAGACAGGCCCAGTCGATGGACTTGAGCGCCGTCTGGTCGATGGTCACCAGCTCGTAGGAGGTCAGCAGCACATGGAATTTGATGGGAGCCTCTCTCTGCAGGAAGATAAGAGGGAATCAATATACCATATTTATAGATATTATATATAAACATCATGATGGTTAATATTCAGTGCTATGTTTGTGTTTAAATAATTTTGCAACTGAAAACAAAGGATTACATTTGGCAAATGCACTGAGAAAGAGGTCAAATATCCCTTCAGGGTTTCTGCAGGAGGTGATGAAAATCAATATATATCACAATATTCATTAGAATAACTTTCTATTATTAATATATATCAGATTATGGCAAATTTTCAAACACAGTTTCAAAAAACATCTATTTTCTATCATCCGCAACCTCCTATTCACTCCGCCCCTCTCTACACCTTCCCTCCTCACCCTCAGTTTGAAGGCCTTCTTCCCTCCTTTGACAGCCGTGTCGTCAAAAGAGAACTCGTTCTCTCTGATGATGGCTCGGCTGTCCTTGTCTCCCGTGTACGTCACCACATAGAAGTCTGGCGCCCACATCTCAAACTCCCTCTCCCAGTTGATGATGGTAGAGAGTGGAGCGCTGACCAGGAACGGACCCTTAGTGTGACCCTGAGGGATAGCGGAGGAGGAAGAATTCATACAATCTGTCAGTGTCGGCCTTCACAATAAAACAATAACAGGAGCAAGGGGCCTCCAGTACCTCTTTGAAGAGTGAGTAGAGAAAGACGATTGTCTGGATGGTCTTGCCAAGGCCCATCTCGTCCGCCAGGATGGTGTCTGTGCCCTGAGCCCAAGAAAACCGGAGCCAGTTCAGACCCTCCAGCTGGTACAGGTGCAGCGTCCCGCCCGTCGATGTGACAAAGTCTGGCTGCTCCTCATATTTTATTGTAGGCTGGAAGGACAAAAGGAAAATCCTGATTGGGACACAGTCAATTGTATTTTTATTTGCAGTTAACTAAAGCTACAGTTAACTCACATCAGTGACCGGTGAGGCGGGAGACTCCTCTTCACCCTCCTGGTTCTTGCTCCTCATCCTCCTGGGTTTGTCTGGGTCCTCCTTCATTATTGTATCTCTGTTGGATGGCAAGTTATCACTGAGTCAATAAATCAAACAGGCAAGCAAGAAATCAACAGGATGTATAAATGTAAGTAATAAATGTGTCAACTGAATTACTACAATCAAAACTGGTTTGGGTTTTTTCTCCATGATAAAGTCAGTGTGGGGAAATATGTTTCCTACAGGTCCTACCTGTGTCTCCAGTAGTTGGCCTTGTAAATACCAAAATCTGGGATGTCCATGTCATCTCTCTCCCAGGTACACTGGTCATAGGTCAGGTCTCTCCATTTGACCAGGTAGTGGTAGGTCCCCTTCTTATCCACGCTGGCAGGGAGACAACACCCAGTAAAGTGAGTAAACCACAGCCTCAGCTCCACTTCTTTGACCATCTTCTTTAGGTCAGCTAGTAGCCGGCAAGTCAGGACTGCTAAAAATTGCGACGGCCATCGTACAGATTCTCCACAAACGTATGGGCTCACACACAGACAGACTCTCTCACCTGTGGTTGATGATGCGGTGGATCAACATCCACTCAGGCTTGATGCCATATCTGTAGTACTTGTCTTCCATGATGGCGTACTGAGGGTCCTTGGCTCTCCTCTTCTCGCTCTTTCCCACGCCGTTCTCGTCCTCCCCGCCAGACCCGTAATCCAGGCTGGGGGGCTCGTCCATGTCCGTCTTCCTCTGGTAGTTTCTGTACATCACCGAGTGGAAGATCTCCAGCTGGAGGGAAGAAGGAAGATGAAAATAATGACCTTTCTTTAAGTCAGTCGGAAGCAGTGGCAACATTTTTAGTCATTTTCACTTGCTCCTCATATACATATACTCTCTCTATTCTCTCTATAGTGTATACATGCAACATTCAATGGCTGAAATATATTATGTTTCCAACTAGTAGTTTCCAACCTTTTTTGGCTTGTGACCCCCCCACTTCAACTAAAGAGTTATTTTCCTTCTGGAATTTACTTTTTTTTCTTTTACAGGCGTGAGACGATAAACTATCCAGTTTTCACAAGAAAGAACTCTGAATCTGAATCTGTGTATATCTAGTTTGTCATTATAATTCTTCAATTAAGTTTACACATTGTAAAACACTCAAATCTGTAGTATGATTGGCTCTTTTCTCTCTCACCTGTAGCTCAGTGATCCAGGTACAGTGCCAATAGGACTGCCCAGTCAACTTGACAAAGAACTCCCTCTCGGCTCTGCCCTTCATGGGTGGCGGCAGGGGGGCGTCAGGTGGGGCGTCGGGAGCTGGGGGAACGGGGATGGGAGGCGGAGGTTCACCCCATCGCCAGTGGAGGATCTTCTGGACACGTCCCTTGATTGGCGGACACTAGGGTGGGAATACATTTACTAATTAATCCTCAGTGTGTACCACACGCTCTGTGACTATAACCACAGGATTTATTATAGTTATTTGGACTCACACTGATTGTTTAAAATCAGATATAAACAGAAATGAAGTAAAACAGAAGCAGCTCACCGTGCATCGTGGACACAGCCACTCTCCGTTGGGGATCTCTGGCAGCGGCGGGTTTAGACAGTGGATGTGGTAGGAGGAGGTGCAGGTGTCGCAGCACAACAGTTCCCCTCCGTCTTTACACACCCGACAGAACTCCATGTGGTCGTCATCCTCCTCCTCCGCCCCGGTGGGGATCCCTGCGCCGACCTCTGATATCACTCTGTCCTCGCTATCCTCCTCAAAATCCTCAAAGTCCTCGTCCTTAGCTTCCCACTGGATTCCCTCTTTTTCCTGGGAAAGGAAACATTTGATTGATTGACATCTAAGCCTATTTGGGTGTAACAACGTGGCCACCTTAATCAACAAAACCAATCTGATTTAAAGAATAAGTGTCTGGTAGAAACTGGAGTTCAATTCTAAGTCTGACACTGGCTACTTAAAAGATAGAAATCTAATAGTCTGGAGGAAAGGAAGAAGCAGCTAATAGACTTTTCCTGTGTGCAGAATAAAGGTGAATGTGAATCATTTATTGAACTTCTGGTGCCCGTTTCACAAAGTGACTTTGTGAGCATCACTTACACACAGATCGAAAACGGCAGCAGTTTCACAAATGGTTGTTGAAACTGAAATTTGCAATTTCTCTTTGGCTCTTGCTGGTAAATATGCAGATTGTTTGGATTTGTAAACTATTCCAAATCAGCTTTGGTAAAACGCCCCTGTGCATCACACGCCACCATAGAGGACGATACAGCACCTTAGCGAAAACTGATAACAGGCAGCTGGCAGTGAGTCAGTTTCACAAAGATCAGGACTGTGATTTATTTGTTTTAACAGTATCACTAGCATTATATAAAATGCAAAAAGAAAAGCTCTTTTTTTCTTCTATTTTGCTAGCACATGACTCCTTGGCAGTGACAGATTCCACCTGGGGACCCTGAGGACAAAGGCTTGAAAGAAAAACACAGAACAACACATAGATAGTACTAAGTTTCCCTGCGACTGGCTCATTTTTCAACACATAAAAAGTTGTGCCTTCAGAATAAACTTAAAGACGCAATTTACGAAGATCTACACATAATGGCCTTTAAACGTTGGTCAAAGGTTGGCTTTTTGACGTGATGAAACAGTTCATTGTGTCATGGCAACCAAAAAAAAAAGAAGAGCATTGGGTTTTATTTGTGACATAACTGAATAGATCTACACCCACAGCACCACTTCAGGTATCTGTCTTTGTCTGGGCAGGACTGTGTATGTCTATGTCTGAATGCCAGCTCTCCACTGAGATTTGCAATGCAGCTACAAAGCCTCTATTCATCTGGTGCTCCAAGCAAGTAAAAACAAACCACTTTTAACTGTTTTTTTTTCTCACTCAGGGTTGCAGAATGTCGCTTGGAAATAAATACGCAAATTGAGGAATCGTAAATAGAAAGCATTAACAGACGTATTCTTGCGGAGTCTGTACTCACGCAATGCGGGCAGCTCCACTTGCCCTCGGGGGCCTTGTCCAGCTCGGGCTCGAGGCAGACGAGGTGGTAAGCTCGAGGACAGGTGTCGCACAGGATGATCTCTCCGCCCTGCTGACACACCTCGCAGTAGTCCTGATGATCCGTCTCATAGCCGTCCCCCTCCTCTTCACCTGGGACTGGAGGGCAACAGACGACAAACACGGAAAGACACGTCTGAAAATGTGTCTGAAATATAACCCCCAAAGGATGCACACTTTCTGTTGTTGACCTGACACAGGAGTCTTAAGATAGATGTGGACATCCCAGACTGTGAATCATTTCTAATAATATAATGTGCATATAACAGGCAGGTTATGCTTACTACTTTTCTTCTTCTTCTTGGCGGGTCGTCCTCGCTTGTTCTTCTTGACGCGGCCGGAGCTATCAGAGCGAACCGAGGAGCTGTGGACGCTGGAGTCCTCCTGCTCGGACTCATCCTCGTCCATATCGTCGCTCTGAAGGAGAAGAAGGAAGATTTGAGGAAGTGAGAGAAGTTATGGGAAAAGGAGCAAACATGTTAGAGAAACAGGGAATGTAATGTGGAATGAAGACAGAGTAGCGGGCTCTCAGACGCTTCATACTCACTGAACAACTCTTCTTCCTCTTGGCACCAATAGGCGATAGTTTGATCCGAATGGGTGCCATCTTTTTAGCCTTCGCTGCAGCCTTTTTCTTGTCTGGGACTCGAGGACTTTTACTGCGCTTCTTATAGCCTGGGCCTGGACGGATTAACATCACGTGCAACATTTGACATAAAAGAAGGGCAAAGTAATGTGTATACTGTATCTAACCACAAGATAAACTTTTTATGTAAATTAATGTCTGACCACCGACCTTTGCCCTCTTTCGTCTTGGCCTTTCTGATCGGTGGCGGCTGCAGCAGCGGCT